AAGAGACATGCATTCCTCTAAAACCCTCTATACGTTCTTGATGGGAGGCTTCAACGCAAACTGGTGAATTGAATATAAGGAAATTTGAGATAGAAACCCAAGGAACCAGCAGTTGGCTGACTTCATGAAGAAAAAGGGACCTTTATGACGAACTCTTTCTTCTAGAAGCGGCCCCACAGGAAGTGGAACTAGTAGGGTCCCGACGGTTAAATAAAAATTGCGATTTACTTCATTATGACGATTAGACGGCGACTGTTCAGTGATTTCTCACTGATTACGAGGCACAATTAACCTAAACGTTAAGGTGGAGAAGTCACGTCTAATTAAGTCCTCCATCCCTCTTGTGCTCTAACCCAAAGTTCCGAAAACTTTCAGCTCAAGTAACAAAATCGTTTTCAGTTCCTAGAAGACATGCTATGAAGTAGACGATAAAAATAACAAGCTCGTTGAAATGGTCCATCGGTCGGAGATAAGTTCTGCAAGATCCACCGCAGATGAACATAAACTCCAATTACACTCTTAATCTCATGGCTGTTAAACGGGAAATGATGCTGCAGTCTTTAGCAGATTGGACAGCATACAGGCAACTAGCTGAACACACAGATATCAAAAATGAATGTGGCGGAATTTACGCGACTTCAATACAACTCGTATTGAAGAAGCGATTGAGCGGAACCAGGGCTTCAAAGTCTTCGCCAGAGACCTGTCTGACAGCAAGAGCCAATTGTCAAAGCTGAAAACCGAATGTGGCAGCATCCTTTCCGGGACACCTGAAATTTTGAGTGAGATTTAGAGGTTCTATGACAGCTGTGCTGTACACATCATTGTTGGAGCCACACGCAAGTGTGAGTAACGATTCGATAGCAAATCTTATCCGACACTATTTCGATGATATTCAATGATGAGCAAGCGGCCAATACTTTATAAAGGGCAAGCTCCGGGTGGGGATGGAATTACAGCGGAGCTTCCGAGAGCGAGTGGAAAACCGGTACTTTAAGTCCTTCAGAAGCTCTTTAATTTCGTCCCTTATGGTTTCACTACTCCGGAGGCGTGGTGCAGATGTGCGGTGGTCTTGTTCTTCAAGAGAGGCGACAACGTTCTATTGAAGAACTACAGACCATTTCCCTACTAAGCCGCGTCTACATGCTGTTTTCGAGAGTCATTACGAATCGTCTCGCACGCAAACTCAATGACGTCCAGCCTCCCAAACAAACTGGTTTCCAAAAAGGCTTTAGTACCGTAGACTAACATACATACCCTTTCGAAAATTGTGCAGAAGACCGAGGAGTAAAGTCTGAAGAACGACTATGAGAAAGCCTTTGGTTCCGTCGAAATTTGAGCGGTGTTGCAGTCCCTTCATTAGTGCCATATATACTGAGAACTTATGTGATCAAATCTTCAGGATTTATATTATCTTTTTCAATATTACGAAATACCAAACGTGCGTGCAATATGTTTAGTACAATAACACGCATCAAATCTGCGTGCTGGTTTCAATGATGTTAGTGCTGCTAGCCTATGCGGCTCTTACAGCTTCGTAGGACTCGTGGAATAATAAACAGAAACAAATACGTTATCATTGTTATGAATAATTAACCACAATTGAGAGTAAATGTGACGGCTCCGTGTCGCAGTGACTTGGCAATGAGTTGCAACGTTATGAGCCGAGGGTTCGGATCCCACACGGAACAAGTATTTGTATGGCCTACAAATAATTCTTCCGGGTGTGGATGTTTGTACTATGTTCAATTTATGTATGTAAACTGCCCTCATAAGACAGGAGAAAATTTTAATATGGAGGTAACGTTTCTGAAAAAAAAAAGGAATAATAAGAACAACACAAATGTCTAATTTATGAGACAATTTACGTTGTCCGCCCGGGGCCTTATTTTCTGATATAGATAATTTCTAAGGAAACTTTCTTTAAAAACTTCCGACGCTATAAATGAGGTAATCAGAAGTTTCGACTGTGACACCGACTTATTGCCGCATTGTGGTTTCTCTAATCAACTTCTAACTAGCTGGGGGACATTAGGGAGCATGTACAAGTAACGTTTGTACAATATTTTAATTCAACAGCTGATTTACTGCTTTCCTAATTAAGCCCTTGTAAAGTGAAGTGAAGTGTAGTAAAGTAAAGTAAAGAAAAGTTAAGTAAAGTTAAGTGGAGTAAAGTGAAGTAAAAATGAAGTAAATTGAAGTAAAGTAAAGTATTTTTATCTGGTAGAGCAATGCTGCAGCTATATTATGGTTGTATCACGAATGTGTCGGCTCGACCGGAGAAGGACCACGCTCTCTATCAGCGTAAAATAGCAGCTTAATGTGTTTCATACGATGAGTTTGGACAAACGGAGACCCTTTTGACTGGAAACGAAGTACTCACTCAAGGGTAACAACGCTTCTGCATTTTGATTCTTAATTGAGGATAAATGTAGATGTCTATGGGTCAGAGCATCCGCTCACCATCGGATGGCCTGAGTCACCCTTATTCTAAAAAAATTTAATAAAACCATTTTTACGGATTCCATCGTCCCTCCATAGCCATGTTTGCATCTTGCTTTGCAGCAACCATGGTTAGAAAGTCAATAAAAAATATGTAAAATTAAACGCGATATTATCAGTGAAAATAGTTTTATTCGATGTGTGCATACATAGTGTTCGCGTATATATATATGAAATCATTAAAGTAATATTACAGAATTTATAATTCCGATTCTTAGGCGCAGGTCTTCTCCTTAGCTCTGAGAGGGTTTTAGGGCAGTTAGGTTTCAAATTTCAATCGCACTGCCTCAAGTTGTGTTGGCGGACATTTTTTTTATTTCTCAGACATGAACGTTTTCTTACGATGTTTTCCTATTTTTTTTTATTTCTCAGACATGAACGTTTTCTTACGATGTTTTCCTACACCGCCGGTCACGTGGTAAATCAATAAAATTTAAACTAATAAATTTGTTAGTGACCTCATGACGCTTATTATATAATGAAATTTATAATAGAATAGTATTATTCTATTTTTGTTTTTTTTTAAAACGTTACCACCACGCTTGTATTTTTTCCTGTATTGTGGAGGCGGCTTACATACATACATTTCACAAGGTAAAACAAAACAAAACAAAAAAAAAACAACAACAAACAAAACAACAACAGCTTACATACATACAATTCACAAGGAAAAACAAAATGACCCGGAACAATTATTTGTAGGCCATACAAAAACTTTCTTGTGTGATTCGAAACCGCGCCCTCACCGCCGCAACTTACTACTATGCCACTGCGCCATGGAGTCACTATTATATCTTATTGTGACAGTATACCACAATCATATAGTTTGCATGAAGCGAAACGTTTATAAGATAAAATAGATTTTATTAAGTTATAGAACATATCTAAGTTTCGTAAGTGTAATATCCCCATTATAATATCGACGATGGATGTAAATTAGTTGAAGGCGCAAATATGAGGAAAGGATCTAAGAGTTACTTCGTATCTTCGCTGCGTAACGCTGAAATTTTATGAATTTAACGAACAGTAAACGAAATTTATGATACCAATAAAAGCTGCAAAACAAAGGGAATTGGACAGGCGTGAGAGGCGAAATCAGGCTATAGATTCTGTAGTCAAATGAGAGTAATTAAATACATATGTATGCATAGAGGGTACCTGCAATTGTACATAAATTGAGTAAAATAATATAATAAAAATTGAATATCAAATAAGTCAAAATGAGAAACGTATTGAAAGATGTTGCGTTTAATTTAGACGTAGAGTTTTAATTGTGATCTTTGATCTCTATATACTATGCTACTGTCTCCGGATTTACTAGAAAAATGACATCCCTATTGCAAAAGTATTTTATGACAAGTAATGACGTATTTAATCTATAGGGATTTCGTTCACTTTGCAATAATCGACATCGATTTACTAGGTTTTGTTTATTTATTTACTTTTGTTACTTAATTATATATCTGAAAATATAAAGTAAATATGACTAGACTTATATTCGAGCGATCTAGCAAACATTGCAAATATTTTAAAACTGATAGTTAGTGCGTAGGATACAGTGTTGGCAATCACTCGGTACATAAGTATAGTACATAGAGTAAGGGTGATAAACGAGCTCACAATCCACCTGATAGTACGTGAATGCTGTGGCCCATAGACATCTATATTTATCCTCTATTAAGAATCAAAATGCAGATGCGTTGTCACCCCTGAAGACTAAGATGGAATGCCTCGTTTCCAGTATAACGGGTCTTAGATTCTCTACAGTCACCATACGAAACAGCAGCATTAAGCTGCTATTTTACGCTGGTATTCTGTGAAAGCGTGGTCCTACCCAAATCGAGCCGACCAATTCGTGCTACAAACATAATATAGCTGATTAATTCTTATTGTAGTCCCAATTTTACATGCTGATATATCACTTGCTCAGCTGAAAAACCATCGACTATATTACAAAAAGCTATATCTTTTTGAATGACAGTATTTTGCTATCATGAAGTGAAGGCAGGACTTTGATAATGCTGTATAGCAGTGCTTTTATGTTTATTTTGAGTTTAATTTAAGCTAGAACATGAGGCAACTTTGTCCATTATCCAGTAAAAGACATTTTACCAAATGTTAAAGTTTAAAAAAGTTAGTAATCAAAAAAAAAAAGAACTACAATCTTCATTTTAAGTAGTTATTTTTTGTATTGAGGAAATTGTTTAAAAAAAATGATTTAGATAAAAATTCGTCGTCTTGTCAGCGCCTTAATAATGATGATGTAATAAAAATTAACCAACGAATTTAAATGTAAGTTATATATAGGTATTTCTATTTTTACTACTGACAAAATTCACGATCAATCGTACTACTTATAAGAAGAGGGTACTTTAAAAACAATTTCGAACACTACATCCAGGAAGTGAAATAGTTTAGCTTTCTACTTCACTATCACGTCAGGGTGTATGTCTTCTCTGTTCACTATTCATAAAATATAATTAAAATAGTTATCTACAATGTCTTACGACAAAGATTTGATGGCTAATTCATCTTTGGGAAAAGCATGGCGAGCTGCGAATGATCAATTATCGAAATCCGAGTATGAAAATATTAATCTGACGATGGTCTGGTAAGTTTTTTTTAACATTTCTTTTTTTTTTTTCTATATTAAAATAATTCTTAGAAAGATGATTAAAAAGTCAGTTTAAATAATTCTTAAAATATGTATCGCGTCACGTATTCTGCTTAAAAATACCTTTGTTAACCAATCTGGAGGATTTTAAGGAAAATATATTTTATTAGTATATTACACTTTGGAGCGATAGCCATTTTGAAATAATAATATAGCTGCGTAGTTGAATTGCCACCATAACTGTGTGCAAGCTTCATAATCAGCATTATGATGCTACAGCCTATCCAAAGTATAATATAATAGCCCCCCTCCTAGCCTTATTGGGAGTGTTTTTACCATAGTTGCCACGCTTTGGCATTTACACTGTTTTTGGATTTCGTAAATGCCTTTTGAATCAATTCCAATAAAAATAAATTTCACTAAAAATTGCGAACGAAACGCAAATATGTCAATTTGTTTTTTTTAACACAGATATACTCATAAAAATGTTTATCACTCGGACCCAGTCAATTCATTTGTAGTTGGAGACAGGACTCATATACAACAAATGGAGTCACAGTGAAGAGCAGTCAAGAGGTTTTTCAGAAAACAGAATTATAACAATTCACATTACATTATTTCATTTACCACTGTCACAGCAGAGTTTAGGACAACCAGACTTTATAGATAAGATTGGTCGAATCGCTTCTAAACTGAATTAACACACTCCGACTCCACGTAGTCTTGTCTGCCCTAACCCTAGAGTGTTTTTGTAAAGCCGTAGGCGCGGAGGGAGAGCAGCTCGTGCCCGCTGTAGCAAATCGCAGGCACCTAAGTGAGCCGTAGCGGCTGAGGCCAGCATGGGTGCCTGCTATTTGCTACGCAAGGGCTAAGAGGCTGCACTTCTCGCAGAAGTAACTTTGCGTCAATATTCCTGTATAAAAAAGTGAGGTTATGACTTTACAAAAAAAATTATTACTCGTAAACTATACATTTCCGCAACGGGGGAAAAGTTGGAGGGCTTCCCATGACCCCTCCCAGCACCGGTCGGCCATTGCAGAAGTAACTTTGTGTCAATATTCCTGTATATAAAATTGAGGTTATAATTTTACAAAAAAAAATTACTAAATTACTCATAAACAATACATTACCGCATACATTTTTCCATGACCCCCTCCCCTATCCCCTTCCCCTCCCAACACCGTATGCGAGTACCGGACGTCTATAGCTCGATAGTTTACCATGTTATTTTTGTGCCAAAACACAAACTAAAATTTTATGTAGGTGTATAATGTCTACCTCAAGGACGAATCATTTTATTTGAAGTAAGGAACATTTAAATTTAAAGAAAAATATCCACTCCAAAGGTTGATCGTAAAAAGGAATTACATTTTTAATATAAATATTTAAACAAGAATCAAGTTTTAATATCACTCAGTCCACTCAAGAGCCAAAAAATATAAGCATTTAAAGTAGTAACAACTAATAACCAGCCCTATTCTGTTAAAAATTTACTGAAAACAAATCCTTCCCCTCCATTACATACGTACATTCACAATTAAATACATAGATACTGTCGAAAAACATTACTCTCCTTCTAGGGCTGTCGGGTAAAAACAATAAAATATGTAACTTCCACATAATGTAAGTAATAACTTGTAAGTCTAAGTCTAAGTTTGGACTTTGATTCTAGGATACATTATGATGTGTTATCACTGACCTTAGAAGTTGTTTTTTTATAAAAATGAAGTAAAACCCAACTAACAGTCCACCTGGTGGTAAGTGGCAGCCGCAGCCCATGAACACCTGCAGCTATAGCTGCCTGGCCATCTCTGAAGGCTAACATGGAATTACTCACAGCCTGGAAATTAGTTTACTTACCTTTTTCTAATTAATATTTTAAGTTAAATAGTTGTGATGTGGCATACACCTTAAATGGATGGAGTGAAGAATTAAAAAAGACGTGCATTTGCTTGTGATTTTGACATGGAGTGGTTATGTTTAGCTTATGACCAGTGACGGGAACAACGATGATGATGTTGGTTAAAACATTTTTTATGTGGTACAGTCATGCTGCAGCTGTATTGTGGTTGTAGTACGAATGGGCTGGCCCGACTAAAATGCCCGCGCTCTCACTGAATACCAGCGCACAGTTGCCACGCTGGGCAGGCGGGTTGGCAACTCCAGTTTATATTTTTAGATGTTATTAGAACAAAGCTGCTGCTCATCTCCTGGTTTTTTTTCTATCGTCTTTCATGACATCGACGGCACGATATGGGGTAGTGGATATTATTACACCATCACTACACGTTTATGTTGATTTGATACAAACTACGATTGCAGTGAGGAGCTGGATAACTGGGTCGCAAATGATAGCCTGAATCTAAGAAGGAGTTTGTCCTTGAGTGCATCTTCGATCCTTGTACACGGAGCGTGTCGGTTCTACAGAGATGAAACTGATAAATTGTTAAAAGGTATATATTAATACTTCATTTATAAAACTTGTTTATTGGACGAATGATCCTGATGAAAATAAATAAATTTCTAGAAAGAAACATATTAATTAATTATAATTATATATAATTAAACAACATTACAACAAGAGTTTCACCAACTTGTGCCTAATGAGGGTGAATGACCTCACGCTCACCAGGTGTCGCTAGTTGGGACTGAGGTGAACTTGTTTGTTACGCAGTTGGTCACGCAGTGTTGTCATTGAAAATTTGCAACTCGATGAGAAGTATTATGGTTTTTAATATATGTATATGAATAATAACGCCTCGGTACTGTATTCTTTAATTTTATTTTCACATTTTTAACTTTTTTCTACTCTTCTAAATTTAGGAATATATGTCGTTTGTTTAATCGATTTCTGATACAATTAATATAAAATATAACTAACATTTCAGAAAGAAACATTAATCTCCACACTTTTCTTACAAATTAACTTCCCGCGCTATGAAACCTGTCAAATATTTAACCTCATTAACTAGTAACGTAACTACATTTTTACGTGGTAGAGCCACGCTGCAGCTATATTATGGTTGTAGCACGAATGGGTCGGATCAACAGGGGTAAGAGCACGCTCTCACGAAATACCTTCGTAAAATAGCAGCTTAATACTGCTGTGTTTCATATGGTGAGTGTAGAGAACTTTAGAACCGTTTTACTGGAATCGAGGCATTCTTCCTTAACCCTTAGGGGTGACAACATCTGCATTTTAATTCTTAATCAAGACTTAATGTAGATGTCTACGGATCATAGCATCCACTTACCATCAGGTTTCATTACTCAAACTTTACAAGGTGAAGTTCTCGAATCGATCACTCTGTTCTCGGTGTGATTGATCTGGGGATTTTAATTGTAACTTAATGCATAATTTCTTCTAGTTTTTGTAATAAATATGAATTTGAGAACTTTATGATGCAATTAAGTTTAAGCATACCTAATGTAATTGTTTTGAGTGTTGACCTAACGGAGCGACTTATTTACATTGTGAGTAAGCTCATTAATAAAGATAAAAGAATTGCGCCTCATTAATAGAGATCCTACCCAGATGATACCATAAAATTTCAGATGCATCCAAGTTGAGTCAGCAAATCATGCTAAGCCATTACCAGTCTGATGCATCAAGTTCAGAAGATGATGACGAATCTTTTGATACAGACGAGACTAGAGAGTATAAAACAGAAGGTTAGTAATATACCACTTAAGTAATTTAAAAACAGGGATGATGATGAAATAATTAATATGGATCATTTTATTTTTAGTTGACCTTAAAAAAAGAAGCATGTTCACAAATGCACTATATGTTTTCTTTACGTATGTTCATATTGTTATGTGCGGTGTGAGTGAAAATGCCGATTAAAATGAGAAATGAATGTATTATTTCACACACAGCAAGTGTACAATCACGTTGTCCAAAACCGATATGCGTCTTCATCGTGGTAACTATGGCAAGTGCACCCTATGAAATAATCTATTATAGAGGACTATGTTGAGCAATAAAGTTTTGATAGACTGTAACGATAATGACGATGATAATTAAACCTCACTGGATTCGATGCCCACTGGCAACAATGTAATTGTTTATTGAAATTTTAAGTGCTGATTTACTTAACACGTACTCAGCTACAAAGGAACCGTAAGGAAACCTGTATATCTATTGCTGTGGACATGCCTGTTCTCTTCCCTAAGATAATTAGAGCAAGAAAAAGTATGCTCTTATGTGTTTCGGGTTTGAGGACATTCAATTTTTTATGTATGCAGTTATATTACGTTTTTAGTACGAACGGGTTAGCTCCAACGAGGTAGAAATACTCTATCACAGAATACTAGCGTAAAATATTATTTTAATGCTGCTGTTTTCTGGGTTGTTAATGAAGAGAACAGGAGAACAATTTTATTAGAAACGTGGCATTCTAACTTAGCCCCCAGGCGTTTTTATTACCTATTTGCATCTACAACACCTTCTTGCCGTCACATGGATTGTGTGCTCGTTTATCACACTAATAATATAACAAAAACATTTTTTAGATACTTCAACTATTTTACAAAGAAAAAGACCTATGGAAACAGACAACAGGTCAAAACAAACGAAACGGGTTAAATTAGATGCTCAAAGTAACTCCACAAAATCTAACTCAGATAACGATGGATCTGATCATAATCTCGATGGAGTAGTCAGAGGAAGCACTCATTTAGTTGAGGAATGTAATGTACCATCAAACTCTAATTTGGAGGTAAATTTGTTTATAACAATATATTTTTTAGACGTGGTATGAAGTCCACAAACAACTTCTGGAGTGTTATTTTTGTTGTCCACGAATTAAGAGGAACCCTTATCTTTACAAAGAGATTTATATCATTCCTAGGCGATCATTCCAGGCGAGACGCGTTTTAAGAACTGTTTCAAGTTTTCAAAATGGAATTTTTTTGCCAATATTATTGTGTACGTATTTTATTAATTTTTCATTTGTTTACGATTTGGCGAGGAATTGAAAATTTTCTGTGTCACGTCAGCATGCATTTAACGCCAGAAAATTTTCGTACAATGATTTTTTATGACTTTTGATGTCAGTTAAGTCAACAAGAAAGTTGTGATAGACTTCGATTGGTCTTTCACGACGAAGCCCCATCTCGTACCACTGTTTACAACTGATTTAATGAGTTTAAACGTGGTCGCATTAATCTCACCGATGATCTGCGTGAGGGACAGCGTTCTACGGCGACGACTGAAGATAACATCAGTGTTGTGCGGCGTATGATAGAGACTGACAAAATCTTATCAGCAGCTTCAGACAAACTTAGGAATCGGTATGAGTCAAGTGCATAAAATCCTCAATGAACATTTAGCGGTCAGGAAGCTTTGTGCGCCAGGTCGGATACCTCATAATTTAACAGAGGCCCAAGAACTCCGTCGTGTTGAATGGTGTCGTGAAATGATTCAAGAATTTAACGGAGGTGACTCAAATGCTGTGTTCCACATACTTACAGGTGACGAAAGCTGGATTTATTGTAATGTTTCTGAAACAAATATACAGTCTGCTGTCTGCGTTTTTCCTTCCGAGGAGCTGCCAACTAAAGTGAAGAGAGGTCAAAGCGTAGGAAAAAAGATGGTGGCCTCGTTCTTCGGTAGGTCAGGTCATTACGCAACAATTGTTTTAGAGGATTAAAAACAGTTACTGCAAAGTGGTACCCTAACAATTGTTTGCCACTCGTTTTAGAAAAAGTTCGGGAGAAACGACCTCGCAATAGGATTCACCACGACAACGCCTCGTCGCACACCGCCAAGCAAACAATCGATACTTGGCGATGTCAGATGTGGTTCGCCTTATAGCCTTGACCGTGCGATTTTTATTTATTTCCGAAAATAAAAGAAAAACTTCGAGGAAAACGTTTTATGGACGCCAAGGAAGCAGTGGCAGCGTTTCAAAATGCCGTCGAGGAGACCCCTAAGGACGAGTGGGCAAAGTGCTTTTCTCTGTGGTTCCATCGTATGCAGCGATGTGTTGATGTAAATGGACACTATTTCGAAAAGATTTAATATAACTAATAACTTGCTAGTTTGTTCAGTTTTTAATTTTCTAAAAACTTTCAGTGTCACCCTCGTACCATACCACCGCTATACTCTTACTTATTTTTTGCCGTCAAATAGCATTGCGTGCCTGTTTTGTTCTTGAAAAGGAAAAAAACAATATCGTTGCTGGTATCCATGGACTGCAGTAATAACTCACCATTTGTAGACTGTACTTCTGTTTGCACCTCAATTTTATTAAATGGAGGGGCTTAAAGACTGTTATACTAACCGGCATTTAAATTTACAGGAACAAGTACTGGAGAGAGAAACATGTAAAGAAAAAGCAGGTCAAACATCTAACTCTCTACTTCGGACTACAGGACACTGTAATGGTGCTATTACAGGATTCGGCCAAAATCTACCATTCGGTGTGATGCTAACCCATGACTTTACCGGCGTGAAGTGGAAGCTCTGTTTCCGCGTTTCGTCTGGTGAGTGCAGGTGGCCGGAGGCCCAAATCCCCCCCCCCATCAACATGGTAGCGGAATTAAATGATAGACTACCCCAGGAGGGTACCAGCACCCCTGGAGAATCCCTCGCTGAGCATCCACGACCATGTTTCTCCACTTCTGAGCGTGGGTGCTCAGGCTGCCCCGCGTATTCTGGGGGGGGGCAATATTCCGCTCAAGACTAAAACTGCTCGGGGCAAACGGAGCAACAAGACCAAGGCGACCCCTGCCACGCTGTCCGTGAATTTCTGCAATATCAGGGGACTTCACTCTAACCTAAACGCCGTCCACTACCATCTCGAGACGGCGAGGCCGGCTCTGCTCTTTCTGACCGAGACGCAGGTGTCCTCTCCGGCTGATGTCTCGTATCTCTCCTGCCCGGGGTACAAACTGGAACACTCCTTTGTGCCTCGGGCTGGAGTTTGCGTTTACGTCAGAGAGGACATCTGTTCTCGACGCCTCGGCAGACTTGAAGGTTCGGACCTGTCCATCCTTTGGCTACGCGTAGACAGCGACGACCATCCGCGCATCTACGGGTGCCTTTATAGGTCCCATAGCGGTAATGCCGAAACAGACCGACTCTTCGACCACGTCCAAATGGCTGCAGATTCGTTGCTACAGCAGATCCCCTCCGCAGAGATCGTGATCCTCGGCGACTTTAACGCCCATCACGCCGAATGGCTCGGTTCACGTTTAACCGATCATGCGGGGGAGATCTGTTCATGATTTTGCCTTGGCATATGGTCTGACACAACTGGTTACTTCGCCTACGCGGATTCCAGATGTGGAGGATCATGCACCTTCCCTGTTGGACCTTCTGCTGACCTCTCACCCGGACGGATATCAGATTTCCGTCGACGCCCCTTTAGGCTCCTCGGACCATTGTCTTGTCCGGAGTGTGGTGCCACTCACGCTGAAATCGCGGTTGCATTCTGCAGGCTGCCGCCGTGTTTGGCACTATAGGTCAGCCGATTGGGATGGGATGCGGTCTTTCTTTGCATCCTACCCTTGGGGGCGGGTTTGCTTCTCGCCGGATGATCCCAACGTTGTTGCGGATTCTGTCGCTGATGTGGTACTTCAGGGTATGGAACTTTTTATTCCTTCCTCTGTGGTGCCCATTGGAGGCAAATCTCAGCCGTGGTTTGGTCGCTCCTGTAAAATAGCATCATGCTATAAGCAGGAGTGCTACCGAGCCTGGGCTGACGCTTCAGCGTCCAGGGATGTAAACACCAGCGCTCTAAAAAAGAAGTATAATTCCGCCTCTAGGTCCTTCAAAAGAGTCATTGCCAAGGCAAAGTCAGAGCACATAGGCAGAATTGGCGAGAGACTAGTTCGTCTTCCTTCTGGAACCCGTGCATTCTGGTCTCTCGCCAAGGCTGTCCAGGGGAATTTCTGTCAGCCATCTCTTCCATCTCTGCACAGGGAGGACGACTCACTGGCCCACACCGCAAAGGAGAAAGCCGATCTTCTAGGGTCTTTCTTTGCGTCTAACTCGACTCTCGATGACGGGGGGGAGTACGCCGCCGACCATCCCGCGGTGTGAGTGCTCCATGCCGGAAGTGCAGTTCACTCAGCGCTCGGTTCGCAAAGCACTCCTCTCCCTGGACATCTATAAGTCGAGTGGGCCTGATGGAATTCCCCCAATTGTGCTGAGGACGTGTGCTCCAGAGTTGGCACCGGTTTTAACGCGTCTTTTCCGGTACTCCTACTCCCTAGGCGTAGTCCCAAAATCATGGAAGACGGCTTTCGTCCACCCGATCCCTAAAAAAGGCGACCGCTCAGACCCGTCCAACTACCGGCCTATCGCCATCACCTCCTTGTTCTCCAAAACAATGGAGTCCATTGTAAACTGCCAGCTCATGAGGTACCTTGAGGATCACCAACTGATTAGTGACCGCCAATACGGTTTTCGCCGTGGTAGGTCAGCTGGTGATCTTCTGGTCTACCTAACTCACAGATGGGCGGAGGCAGTAGAGTCCAAGGGGGAGGCATTGGCCGTTAGTTTGGACATTGCGAAGGCCTTCGATCGGGTTTGGCACAAAGCGCTTCTTTCGAAGCTCCCTTCCTATGGGCTTCCCGAGAAATTGTGCGATTGGATCACCAGTTTTCTTGCAGATCGGAGCATCAAGGTCGTTGTAGACGGTGCAAGCTCCGATTGCAAGCTTATTAATGCTGGTGTTCCACAGGGCTGCGTGCTATCGCCAACGCTGTTTCTTCTGCATATCAATGATATGTTGCAAACCCGTAGCATTCATTGCTATGCAGATGACAGCACTGGTGATGCTCTTTACACCGGCCGAGCCAATATTTCTCGGGAAAACGTCTCTGAGTGCCGGGACAAACTTGTGTCTGAAGTCGAGTCTCTGCTGGACAGAGTCTCGGATTGGGGGCGACTAAATCTAGTCCAGTTTAACCCCCAGAAGACACAAGTTTGCGCGTTAACCGCTAAAAAAGAACCCCTTTGTCGTATCCCCTCAGTTTTAAGGCACTCCCCTTTTTGCCTCAGCCAGTATTGGAATCCTCGGCGTCGACATATCGAGTGACGTGCAGTTTCGTGGTCACTTGGAAGGGAAGGCCAAATTGGCCTCTAAAAAGCTTGGCGTGCTCAGCAGAGCGGGACAGTATTTCATGCCGGCACACCGCCTGCAACTTTACAAGGCGCAGGTTCGGCCGCTCATGGAATACTGTTCCCATCTCTGGGCTGGGGCTCCCCAGTACCAGCTCCTTCCACTTGACCGCATCCAGCGCAGAGCGGCTCGAATCGTCGACGACCGAGTGCTTTCCGATCGGCTTGACTCACTGGCGCTGCGAAGAGATGTTGCATCTCTTTGCGTATTTTATCGCATCTATCACGGGGAGTGCTCTGAGGAATTGTTCGGATTAATCCCAGCCGCCAAATTTCGTGAACGCACTACACGGCAAACGTCCCGATACCATCCACACCATCTGGATGCTTGGCGGTCCACCACTGTACGTTTCAAAAGGAGTTTTCTTCCGCGTACAACCTCTCTGTGGAATAATTTACCACCGGTGATTTTTCCGGACCGATACGACCTGGGGACCTTCAAGAAAAGAGCTTACTCCTTTCTAAAGGGCCGGCAACGCACCTGCAATTCCCCTGGTGTTGCGGTTGATCATGGGCGGCGGTAGTCACTTAACATCAGGTGAGCCACATGCTCGTTTGCCCCCTCTTCTATAAAAAAAAAAAAAAAATGACGAGTATCATTCAAGAATATCGAGTAAAACATTATCAACT